CCGAGCGTCGGCAGCCCGGCCGCTTGGCCAGCCGAGCGGCACCCCCAGCGCGGCGCCGTGCCCATCAGGCTTCCTTCGAAACGCTCCTTTTTGCCCCCCAAACGGTCCGAACTCTGTCGAAGCCAGCTCGATTGAAGCAATCTTGCCTAAACAGCGCGAGAGCGGGCGCTGTCCCTCCGGGCCGATCCCTTTGGCGATCTCTCAGACGCCAGGCAGCCCTCTGAAAACCGCGCCGTTCCCGCGGCGCTGCGGGAGCCATCGTCGCCCGAGGGCCGGTTCTTTTTCAGGGCGGTGCCAGGACGTCGTGGCGTTCATTTGTGCGCGAGGGCGGTTTCTGACGCCGGTTCTCTTTCTGGTTGCAGGAATCCTTTTCCGAGCACTTGGGCTTCACGGGAGGCATCGTGCAAGGGTAAGCCGGGTAGTTTGGAGGTGGAACGAGGCGGGGCGTTTGCGGCTTTTCCTCGTGAGGGTTTATCAGCGCCCGGCAAACGAACGGGCGCCGCCGCCGTGAGCGCCGCCAGCCCTTCCGCGAGGGAGACGCCGTGTTTTTAGCACCCAATCCTTATTTTTCCCCTCTTCTCTTCCCTCCCAGGCTGGATTTGTACCGTGCCTCAGGCAAATTTGAGCTCCTGGACAGGATTCTCCCCAAACTGCGAGCCACCAACCACAAGGTGCTGCTCTTCTGCCAGATGACCTCCCTCATGACCATCATGGAAGATTATTTTGCTTACCGCGGATTCAAATACCTCAGGCTGGACGGTGAGTGCCCCTGACGCGCGGGGACGGCCCCCGCCCCTCTCTTGCTCACGGCGCGGGGTGAGGATAAACCCCTGGCGCGGGGCCGAGCGGCGAGGTAAGCTCCGACGGGTTCGCCCACCCGGCGTCTCTCGCAAGGGGAAGGCGCCCGAAGCGAACGGCCCGTCGCAAAGCCGCGAGCCCTGCTCGCGGGGCGCGGGTTACAGCAGTGAACCTCGCGGGGTAAAAGATACCAAGCGCAGCCTTTGACTTGATACGTTACCGTCGGCTGCTCCCCCAGCCATGGGTTTGCGTTTTTAAAATTTG